GCAACAAGAGCAGATGCAGCCCTGCCAGAAGACTCCTGTTTAGATCCATCAGTGTATGTAACTTGTAATAACTTATTACTATCAGCTAGGCGACAAATGTCTTCTTGAGCAGTTGCTTTGACAAGTGATTTAAGGAAGGGATTACTAGCAGTGAGCTTCTTGGGAGGGACTTGCAGGTATGTGATATTAAATGAACACATCTTCCATGGAGGGGTGAAATGCTCTTGTTGTCTACAGTGATACAGTTCATGCAGGTTATAAAACTTAATGCAGTTGCATGTTTTCACAATCCATTTAGATCTGTGTGTATTAACTTCGAGACAGTAAGATTCATTGTGAGTGTCTGGTTCATTTCTTAACATTCTAATACCGAGTACAGTGATAATCTCAACAATCCTATCACTGACACTAGAAATACCAAGCTCCTTCCTCATATTAAGAACCTTTGTAGATTTGGGACAGGCAAGAATAATTCTGACAGCTTCATTTTGCAATAACTCCAAGGGTCGATGAGAACTTTCTCTAGCTAATATCAACATGGGAGCAGCATAATCAATTAAGGACCTAACATAGGCTATGTACATCATTCTCACGATTCTCACATTAGCACCATAGTTAGGGTTGTAGCCAGCAACAGCTTTGAGAGCATTTAGTTTATCTTTGCATTTCTTATTTAGTTGTGGTACAGTGGATTTGTTAAAGGGTACATCTACACCAAGATAGCTATAAGTTTTAACGTAGCTAATGTTTTCACCCTGCAAATAGATGGGTGGGGGGATGTCGTTTGCTTGTTAATATCTGTTTTAGAGGAAGATATTATGAGGCCTACTCAAATTCAAATTCAAATTCAAAGTTTATTCTCTATAAGGATTACAATGCTGAGTTTACAGAATTTGGTTATTGTGTGGTTTACATGTAGTAAAATAATGATTACAGAGTATACCACTAGAACACCTAGCATGGCTAGGCATTTCGGGCAGACTTAGTTTAATTCTTAATTTTAAAATATTACAAATTATGAGGTAAGTTGGTATTATGGCTAAGTGACTAAATACTAGTTTGTGAGTTTAGCAATGTGAATGCTTTTGTTTTGGCACAGTACATAGTTTCAGTATTGGAGTATCACAGGATTCATTATTTTAAGATTGAGATTAATATTTCTGTTTATGGTCAAATGGGTGAGTGAGTGTAAGTGTGAACCACCAGGCGATATTCGTGTAGTTAGTTGACGGGGTGTATCAGGGAGATAAGATGTTTTCTAATGGTAATTTTGAAGGTGATGAATGTGTGTGCAGTTCTAGAGTTCTCAGGTAGGGTGTTCCAGATTTTAGGGCCTTTGACATACATTGAATTTTTGTAAAGGTTTAGTCGGACACGGGGAATGTCGTAGAGATGTTTGTGTCTGGTGTTATGCCTGTGGGTTCTGTCACAACTATCAAGAAAGCATTTTACAAATTGCTTGAACTTCATTAAGAATGGTACTCATCTTATGACCTGTTGTGTGGATCGTGATGTCATCAGCATAGCGTATAGCTATATGTTTAGGTGAGGCAGGTAGAGCACTACTACTATTAAGAGCGTGAGAAAGCACAATTATTGGTGACCCGGTGGCCTGGTGGCTAAAGCTCCCGCTTCATACACGGAGGGCCCGGGTTCGATTCCCGGCGGGTGGAAACATTTCGACACGTTTCCTTACACCTGTTGTCCTGTTCACCTAGCAGCAAATAGGTACCTGGGTGTTAGTCGACTGGTGTGGGTCGCATCCTGGGGGACAAGATTAAGGACCCCAATGGAAATAAGTTAGACAGTCCTCGATGACGCACTGACTTTCTTGGGTTATCCTGGGTGGCTAACCCTCCGGGGTTAAAAATCCGAACGAAATCTTATCTTATCTTACTTCAGCTGGGACTGTGCCTTCACAGAAAACGGTGTACCAAAGTTGCTTCAAATTAAGGTAAACTAAATTATAATAATAATAATATCTTTATTTTACTACAAGTATGTACATGTACAGGGTATACAGTCCTAGCTGATAACAATGACATACTACTATATAGAAAGTCCCTTGTTATGCTCTGCATTTCGGGCAAATTAGGTTAGTGTCCCAGGATGCGACCCACACCAGTCGACTAACACCCAGGTACCCATTTTACTGATGGGGAACATAGACAACAGGTGGAAAGAAACACGTCCAATGTTTCTACTCTGGCTAGGAATCGAACCCAGGCCCTCGCCGTGTGAAGCGAGAGCGTTAACCACCAGGCCACCAGAGCCTAATTAGATTTTTTTTTCACCAGTTAAGATAAGATTTCGTTCGGATTTTTAACCCCGGAGGGTTAGCCACCCAGGATAACCCAAGAAAGTCAGTGCGTCATCGAGGACTGTCTAACTTATTTCCATTGGGGTCCTCAATCTTGTCCCCCAGGATGCGACCCACACCAGTCGACTAACACCCAGGTACCTATTTGCTGCTAGGTGAACAGGACAACAGGTGTAAGGAAGCGTGTCGAAATGTTTTCACCCGCCGGGAATCGAACCCGGGCCCTCCGTGTGTGAAGCGGGAGCTTCACACACATAATAAAGTTATTCAAATTTAGGTGAATTATAATACATAGTTACACTTGTCATTTACCTAGAATAATCCCAAAAAATCAAAGTGACATATTTCCATTGATTCAGGTTTCCTTTTTTGGTATGTCTTTTGGAAACGTGAAGCCAAAGCCAAGACTGCGTCCACATGATCACCCACCCACTTAATGGCCAGACTCAGTAAGTTTTTGTCCTCTGATAGCGCCGTGTTAGGCTAACTATTATAGTTCACTAATAACGCAGTCAGCTTATAATTGAAGGACACAGGTTCGATCTTTCCACAGTTTCATGTTGAGTTTATTTTACCTCTTTAATAGTAAGTGGTGCAACAACTAGAGTAAATTACACTAAATATCAGAACTTGATACTTCAACTTATAATACTTAACAATTTAATCTAGATATACAGATATACAAAAGTGACATTTTTTTATGAACTATCAAAAGATATTACCAAATATTGTTACATGTACGGTATATACACTGTGTGGATCTCAGTATACTTGTATACATACTTGAGAGTTTAACACATGATATATATAATAAAGTGTCTCCGTATTTACAAACAGAGTTTGATTTCTTTTTTAAGAAATTAAAGTATTCTGATAGATGATGAACAGGTGATATGCAGCCTTAATGACCCTAGTATAGTTGATAGCTTTTAAGCCCCATTAGGCAACCAATTTAATGTCTTGGTGGACTGCAATTTGGATGACTTCGTGTAGTTGAAAGTTTTAGAGAACCATGGTGAGTGTATCAACTAATTTGTTAATGATGTCGTAACTGATAACCACTCACATGGTTATCTTTGGTATTTCAAATGACTGATTATTTCCTATCACCCAGTGAAGCTATGACATCATAATTCACTTATCAAGATAATCCTCCGTTTTATAACACCTGTGTCTGATGTTTTATTACAGGATATTTTTCCGGACTGAAGAAAGATGTAGCAGGTTTAGTCGTGCAGAAGCTCTAAAGCAGCAGGGGTCGTAGAGTACCTGGGGAATGGAAGACAACCAGGTTTGGTCCACAGCGGAGGGCATCTTCAGTCTCTTGAATCAAGAGCCCTTCAGTAGCATCAAGACAGCGCTGAAGAATGGCTATGTGGGCCAGGGGGCTGCCAACAGCAACAGCCTGGGTAAATAGGCAATCAGTAGAAAAGATTGTCCCTTGGCCGGGTTAGAGAGTAGAAAAACTTTCGAAACTGGCCACAGGTATATCACAGAACTGTTTGGCTCGTAAGCCTTCCAGCTTACACTGATTCAGTTCAGCAGGTTACAGGCCGCACTGCAGCAGCCTGCAAAAACACTAAGGTAACAGGTGTATAAAGACTAGTAGCAACAGACTGAATAATTGCCCCAGCTCAGCACTATCAGAGTAGCAGCACTGAAACTCGCCACCAACATATTAAAATATACAGGAGGGGTAACCTTGTGGTTCAAACACTACTGGAACAAGTGTAGAAAGAAGTCTTCAAGAGGAAACTGGGCAGGTATCTTCACCAGGTGCCAGATCAACCACCAGGCTGTGATGGATATGTAGGGCAGCGGGACACCGGCCCGCTGCCCCACATATGCTAGTGCTTGCCTGGTTGAGCAGGCAAACACCAGACGAGCCTGGCCCATGGCCGGGCTCCGGGAGTAAAAAGACTCGGAACTCAGCAAAGGTATATCGAAGGTAAAGGTAAGACCAGACCAGAAACATCAAAGTAGACATTAAAAATTACATAAAAGCGCTGAGGACAAAGGCTTTCGTGTTTCATTTATTTAGAAACCTTCCTTCACTTGGGAATCAGCTCTGGTGATAGTGATATAAAAGCTAATTTGCTGGTGAGAGGCCGGAGGTAAGGTTACAACTGGGCATCCTATCCACTGTTGAAACCATCATGCTGTAGAGTATCAGCCCTTGAAGACGAGAAAACACAGATTCACAGAGATCTGAAAGCACTAGTACTATACTATGATTTGTTACCGTCAGAAAGTTGTGAATGGTCAACATAGAACATCCATTAGATTGCGTAACACACGTACACCCAGATAACCTCATTATCCACTCTAAATTTGCCAACACTCTGTAGCAGTCTCTCTCTCTCCCCATCTCATTCTCATCTCTCTCCATACCTCTTCCTCTCCCTAGATGAATTTGGAATTTTATATAAATTTAGAAATGGTCGCTAATTAAGGTAGCTGACCGTTGAATAGCATATGATTGTATTCTTGTATGGCGTGTTACATACTCTTGTATTTATCTTGTATTGCATGTTTTATATCATTCTGTTGTGTGTTATGATATTGTATTTATGACGTATCGGATATTATGTACTGTTGTATGCTTGTATTGCATATTAAGCATCATTGTATTTGTTTTACATTCTTGTATGGTGTGAGTAACGTGATTGTTTGTTTACAGGAGAGGCGGGGAAGGTGAAGCAGGGAGCTACCAAGAACTACTGGGAGTCCCACATGTTGGCCAAGATGGACGACGCTGGCTGGGAGAGTGTGGCCAACGTCCGCTTCCAGCCCCTACCAGGGGCCACGCCTGTCCACGTCCAGGTGGGTCACACCTGGACGTCACACCCTCTTTCCCCTCCCCAGCAGCTGGTGTCAGCTGCTGGGGAGGGGAAAGAGGGGGTGGTAAGGGAGGGGTACTGTGTAGGGAGAGGGGGAGGAAAGAATAGAGAGGGGTGGGAAGTGAGAGAAACATTGGGGGGATATAAAAAGGAAGACATAGGGGAGAGGTAGGTGGAAGGTGAGAGTAGGAAAAGATAAAGTATCTGCACGAGGGAAGATAGACTGGTCCAGGATGAAGTAAAAGAGATAGGGGGAGGGGGGCAGGGATGGTAAATGGAGGAATGAGGAAGAGTGAGGAGAAACAATGTAACGTGGAAATAAGCGTAGTTATTTATTTAGCAAAATTTGATACATCAGCAGGGTGCTGCTGTTGTTCTGTGGTAGTTACATAGTGGTAACAAAAGCTAGCTATGTTTCCCAGTCATATTCCATATGAGTTGGGAGACTTCAGTAAACCAATGAGAATATAGTCAAGTATTCCAGCAAGGGTTCATCATCTACGGCAGCTTCAAAGGTTTCCTTCCAGCAGAGCTGCAGCTATTATCACTTGGGAATTACCATCTCTCAGGATAGTCTGTCCCATATACAGCAATAATGTTATTCTTTTGAAGGTGTCCCGTCATGGCAGAGCGAGAGAAAGAGAAAGTATACGCAGACATATGAAAGAGAGGAAGGGGAATGGGGAGGAGAGGATTGTGGATGTCATAACATATATAAGTAAATACAAACATTACTAGATCATAATATATATATATATATATATATATATATATATATATATATATATATATATATATATATATATATATATATTATATATATATATATATATTAAATTAAATTATGGGGAATCAAATTCAAAATGGGAATTGACACAGTTACTTTTTGCTGATGATACTGTGCTTATGGGAGATTCTAAAGAAAAATTGCAAAGGTTAGTGGATGAGTTTGAGAATGTGTGTAAAGGTAGAAAGTTGAAAGTGAACATAGAAAAGAGTAAGGTGATGAGGGTATCAAATGATTTAGATAAAGAAAAAATTGGATATCAAATGGGGAGGAGGAGTATGGAAAAGTGAATGTTTTCAGATACTTGGGAGTTGACGTGTCGGCGGATGGATTTATGAAGGATGAGGTTAATCATAGAATTGATGAGGGAAAAAAGGTGAGTGGTGCGTTGAGGTATATGTGGAGTCAAAAAACGTTATCTATGGAGGCAAAGAAGGGAATGTATGAAAGTATAGTAGTACCAACACTCTTAATGGATGTGAAGCTTGGGTGGTAAATGCAGCAGCGAGGAGACGGTTGGAGGCAGTGGAGATGTCCTGTCTAAGGGCAATGTGTGGTGTAAATATTATGCAGAAAATTCGGAGTGTGGAAATTAGGAGAATGTGTGGAGTTAATAAAAGCATTAGTCAGAGGGCAGAAGAGGGGTTGTTGAGGTGGTTTGGTCATTTAGAGAGAATGGATCAAAGTAGAATGACATGGAAAGCATATAAATCTATAGGGGAAGGAAAGAGGGGTAGGGGTCGTCCTCGAAAGGGTTGGAAAGAGGGGGTAAAGGAGGTTTTGTGGGTGAGGGGCTTGGACTTCCAGCAAGCGTGCATGAGCGTGTTAGATAGGAGTGAATGGAGACGAATGATACTTGGGACCTGACGATCTGTTGGAGTGTGAGCAGGGTAATATTTAGTGAAGGGATTCAGGGAAACCGGTTATTTTCATATAGTCGGACTTGAGTCCTGGAAATGGGAAGTACAATGCCTGCACTTTAAAGGAGGGGTTTGGGATATTGGCAGTTTGGAGGGATATGTTGTGTATCTCTATACGTATATGCTTCTAAACTGTTATATTCTGAGCACCTCTGCAAAAGCAGTGATAATGTGTGAGTGTGGTGAAAGTGTTGAATGATGATGAAAGTATTTTCTTTTTGGGGATTTTCTTTCTTTTTTGGGTCACCCTGCCTCGGTGGGAGACGACCGACTTGTTGAAAAAAAAAAAAAAAAAAAAAATATATATATATATATATATATATATATATATATATATATATATATATATATATATATATATATATATACATATATACAATGGCGCTAGCCTCGTGATATGTTTTATATTTATGTAAAAATGGATGCATATCACATCAGCAGTGGGCTGCTACTATATTCACTGTGATAATTACAAAGTTTCATTGATGAGTATTTGAGTGTGTGTGTGTGTGTGTGTGTGTGTGTGTGTATGCAAGGAATTTGCAAGAGCAGGCGAAATATACACAAACACTGATCTCTGGCTGAAGGAGACTCGAACCTACGAACCTTGGAACAAGGTACGCAGTGCTATACCATTCTCACCACACTGGACCAATAACTTGGCGCCTAGCACAATGCTATACGTTGATCCAAGGCAGCCAGCTTTCAGGGAGAAGGCTTACAGCTTTTCATCTCATCCTCTGCGTGCACCAGCCTTACTAGAGATTTTAACAATGCAAGGAATTTGCAAGAGCAGGCGAAATATACCCAAACACTGATCTCTGGCTGAAGGAGACTCGAACCTTGTAACAAGGTACGCAGTGCTATACCATTCTCACCACACTCGACCAATACCTTGGCACCTAGCACAATGCTAGACGTTGATCCAAGGCAGCCAGCTTTCAGGGAGAAGGCTTACAGCTTTTCATCATATCCCCTGCATTGTTAAAATCTCTAGTAAGGCTGATGCTTGCAGGGGATGAGATGAAAAGCTGTAAGCTTTCTCCCTGAAAGCTAGCTGCCTTGGATCAACGTCTAGCATTGTGCTAGGCGCCAAGGTATTGGTCCAGTGTGGTGAGAATGGTATAGCATTGCGTACCTTGTTCCAAGGTTCGTAGGTTCGAGTCTCCTTCAGCCAGAGATCAGTGTTTTATATATATATATATATATATATATATATATATATATATATATATATATATATATATATATATGAGAAGACAATGTGGAGTGGGAGGGAAAACAGAGTATGGGGTACAGAAACAGTGGCGGGGAAGACAGTACGAGGGGAAACAGCGTGGTGGTACTGTTGTGGAGGGGAGAAATGATGACGGTGAGGGAGGGGTAGTGATGGTAAGGTAATGAGTTTACCTATCTACCTAAAGTGTTGAGTATTTTTTAAGTTGTAACTTTTGAGTATTGTTAAGACCAAGTGGAACTGTTACACTGTGTGAGAGATGCAGACAGAGTAAAAAGACAGAAGTAAAGACACTGAGAAAGACACAAAAGTAGACACAGACAAGAAACAGTAGAGCCATAAGTGGATAGAAGACAAGGAAAGGTCAAAACAGCAGGTACAGAGAAGCAGACACGGAAGTACAAAGAAAAAGTAAAGGCAAGAGAGAGAGAGAGAGAGAGAGAGAGAGAGAGAGAGAGAGAGAAGAGAGAGAGAGAGAGAGAGAGAGAGAAAATCAGCGAAAAGGGGAGGAAGAGCAAGAGCGAGAGCAGCGAAAAAGCGAGAGGAAGATAAAGTACTTGCGAGAGGGAGAGAGCAGCGAAAGAGGGAGAGTAGGAGCACTAGCGAGAGGGGGAGAGTAGGAGCACTAGGGAGAGGGGGAAAGTAGGAGCACTAGCGAGAGGAGGAGAGAAGGAGCACTAGTGAGAGAAGGAGCACTAGCGAGAGGAGGAGAGAAGGAGCACTAGCGAGAGGGGCAGAGAAGGAGCACTAGCGAGAGGGGGAGAGTAGGAGCACTAGCGAGAGAAGGAGCGCTAGCGAGAGGAGGGGAGAAGGAGCACTAGCGAGAGGGGCAGAGAAGGAGCACTAGTGAGAGAAGGAGCACTAGCGAGAGGGGGAGAGAAGGAGCACTAGCGAGAGGGGGAGAGAAGGAGCACTAGCGAGAGGAGGAGAGAAGGAGCACTAGCGAGAGGAGGGGAGAAGGAGCACTAGCGAGAGGGGCAGAGAAGGAGCACTAGCGAGAGAAGGAGCACTAGCGAGAGAAGGAGAGAAGGAGCACTAGCGAGAGGGGGAGAGAAGGAGCACTAGCGAGAGGAGGAGAGAAGGAGCACTAGCGAGAGGAGGAGAGAAGGAGCACTAGCGAGAGGAGAGAAGGAGCACTAGCGAGAGGAGGAGAGAAGGAGCACTAGCGAGAGGGGGAGAGTAGGAGCACTAGCGAGAGGAGGAGAGAAGGAGCACTAGCGAGAGGAGGAGAGAAGGAGCACTAGCGAGAGGGGGAGAGAGCAGCAAGAGGGAGAGAGCAGCAAGAGGAAGAGAGGGGGAGAGAGGGAGCACTAGCGAGAGGGGGAGAGAGCAGCAAGAGGAAGAGAGGGGGAGAGAGCAGCAAGAGGGGAGAGAGGGGAGAGAGCAGCAAGAGGGAGAGAGGGGGAGAGCAGCAGCAAGAGGGAGAGAGGGTGAGAGAGCAGCAAGAAGGAGAGAGGGGAAGGGAGAGAGAGAGAGAGAGAGAGAGAGAGAGAGAGAGAGAGAGAGAGAGAGAGAGAGGAGAGAGAGAGAGAGATAGATATAGAGAGATATAGAGAGATATAGAGAGATATAGAGAGATATAGAGAGATATAGAGAGATATAGAGAGATAGAGAGATAGAGAGATAGAGAGATAGAGAGATAGAGAGATAGATTGAGGGAGTGGGAGTCATAAGGTAGACTAATCAAGAGTTGAGGAGGTACTCTTGTTTACTCTTAGACTGAGGACGAGGCAGACACGGTGACCACACCACCACCACCAGACTTCATGCCAGCACCGCCGCCACAGTTTGACAACTCTCCTGTGGAGTCTGAAGAATCTGCTCCCCCATCTCTCGACACCCCCACCACTCACACCACAACTACCCCCAACATCATCCTCAACACCGCCTCCGTCAACTCCAACATCAACACACAGGAGACTCGACCCACCAAGCAATACGTGTACGGCATCACCGACGCAACACCACCACCCAAGGTCAGACTGTATGAATAGTGTACAGTGTGTGTATGTGTACGTACGTACTCTCCTGTATCTGCTAGCCTATATGTTCTCACCTGTGTGTGACTGCAGGGGTCGAGTCTTAGCTCCTGGCTCCGCCTCATCGCTGAGCACTACTGGCTTCACTCTCCTGGCTTCCAGAGCCTTATCGTCCCTGTTCCTCTTCTTAAAGCTAAAATAAAATAAAACTAAAATAATTTTTATTATTATATAGAATGATCAACAGTCGGTACAGAAAATGTGGTATTGAGATAATTTACTTATATGGATCCTGCTTCTACCACTCAACTCTCCAGATTTGTTCCACCTGTGCTTTCATCTTCCAGATGTGTTCCAGTTCCCCGTTTCTCGAAAATTCTATCACAGTTTCTCTGTATTTTGTACATCATCATATGACTCTTAGTCCTTTCCTCTAATGTCATCAGATTTAGCTCCCTTAATATCTCCTCATAGAACATGTCCCTTAGGAACTAGTCTCGTTGCGAACCTCAACACTTTCTCCCATTTCTTAGCATGCTTGACAAGGTGTGGGTTCCATATTAGTGCTGCATATTCCAATATGGGCTTGACATGTGTCGTATACAGTGTCGTGAATGACTCTTTGCTTAGATTTCTGAAAGCTTGTCTTAGATTTGCCAAACTCGCATTTGTTGTGATCTTTGCGCATCCGCAGTCTTCATAACTTTGCACTTGTTGTGGTTGAGTTCTAGTAGCCACTTGTCAGACCAGAAACAGGGTTATCTCTGGCTCTATCCCTTCCGTCATGTCGTTCACATACACAAGAAAAAGTACTGGTCCTAGAATGATTCTTGCGGAACCTCACTCAATCACATGAACCCATTCCGACACCTTCCCAGACAATCGCTCATTATTTACTCCCTGTTTAGTATTCCATGATTCATTGTAGTGCTTTCCCTGTTACTCCTGCCTGCTCCTCTAGCTTTTAACGCAGTCTAGTGCGGTACTGTGTCAAGTTTTTTGTAATAGTCTAGAAATATGCAAATCTACTCATCCCCCTTCCTTATGCCTCACTTCTCTTAGCTTGTCACAGAACTCCAGTAAATTTGTAAGAGAGGACTTACAATCTTTAAGCCGTCCTGGTTATCGTTTATGTATGGACCCACTTTTTCCAGGTGCTCCACTATTCTGATTATCTTCTCCATCACTCTTTTGATTATCTTCTCCATCACTCTTTTGATTATCTTCTCCACTACTCAACCCTTGCGGTTCAGCGCTTCTTTTGATAATAATAATAATAATAATAATAATAATTCTCCACCACTCTTCTTTTTAAAATGTGTTGTCCTTGGTGTGTGTGTGTGTGTGTGTGTGTGTGTGTGTGTGTGTGTGTGTGTGTGTGTGTGTGTGTGTGTGAAGGCATTTCATTTGAGATACTTTTATTTTTAAAGAGGTTCAGTTCCTATTTTCCCAGTACGTAATTGAAAGTGAGGCTACCTGTGATCAAGGTCCTGTACACATAAGTGTTTCTCTACACTGTTGCCTCCATCCATCTTGGTCGTGTGTTGTGGTAGGTACCAAACATGAAGTTAGGCTTCATAAACAAAAACTAGCATATAATACTAATACACAGCATTATAAGGTATTTGTCAAAATACATTTTACTGGTAAAAAGCTTGCCCAGTCTGGACATTTATCACCAGGATAATTTGTGCTCTCTCTAGCTTTTAGGAGAGTAGCGGAACATACTGGATTATCATTCATATTCCCCGTTTCCTCGACACTACATTATTGCTGGAGAACGATTTTGTTTTCTGTTTGGGACAGTGGAAGCGCCGGTTCCTGTTTACCACCACACTTGTATTATTTACAGCTGACAACTGTGCAGCACCCATAACCAGCATCAGAACAGTTAGTGTAAAGCCTGTTGACTACACAAGGGTCATTACAGCTGCAGGTAACCTGTTCACCAGTTTTCAATATTACCTTAATCCTTGAAACAGATATTAAAGTAAACTTAACGTTTATACACTGAGACATGTACTTCTTAGTGTATAGTATTATCTTGTGTCTACCTGGAGAGAGTTCCGAGGGTCTACGTAGGTCCCCGCGTCTCAATCCTAGACCAGGCCTTCCTAAAGATGAATTGATCAACCAGACTGCTGGTGCTAGCCGCACAAGACCAACGTATACGCCATAGCCCAAATGATTAGGGACTGACTTAAGGAACTTGCTCAGTTTTTCTTGAAGACAGCCAAGAGTTTGTTGTGACGAACTGTGGTTTTTCTGTAACTCAACACACCTCCCAGGGCTATTAAAAGTGAAAAATAATTGAAGACGGGTATTATGTATTCCAAAATGCGACCCAGGAAAAAGTTTTCATAATTATAAATTGATATTTCATTAGTAAGTAAATGCCTTAATTATCTTAGTGTCAGTTTTATAGATATCGAGGCCATGTTCCTTCAGGGGGTGCCTGGGCTCTTGATTCAAAGTGCTAGAGCTACCCTTACTTTTCTTGGCTCAAAACTAATCGCTTTCAGTTCCCTAGGTACAGTATTACCATTACAAACTTAGCACTTTCCCTGAGTCAAGGGCCCTGACTAAAATAATTAACATGTGTGTTTTCTTCAGGAGATGCGCACTGCTCGCATTGTGGAGACTGTGGCCAAGAAGCCAGCATCACAGGAGAACGTGATCGAGGCGGAGATCCGTGCTCAGCAGCTGAAGGAGGTGGCTATGCGGCAGGAGGGAACGCTCAAGTCAACCAGCAGCAGCAGCAGCACCACCACCACCACCACCACGGTGGTTCGGGAGAAAGGAGCTTCCTCCCCCGCCAGCCACGACTCTGACGAGGGCTTCGTCGATCGTCTGGTAGAAGATGTGCCTATAACTCCCACCAGTGGTTACACACACACCATTGCAGGCAACGACGGAGAACCTGTTATCTACGACACTGTTAGCCCTCCACCTGAGTACTTCTCAGAGAGGTTAGTTGCTTCTTCACAGTGTTTTGGTGGTCTATGCCAGCAATTCTCAAACTGTGTTGCACCCGCCCCAGGGGTATGCACATACGTTTTATGGGGTGCATGGTTTGCTAATATGTCGTCTTACAAAATGTGTGAAAGTGGTAAGATTCGCAAGTACCCATCACCACTTAGAGAGATTTGGAGAGATGTTGAGTGAGTGCATGGGGAGTTTTAAACCGAGAGAGTGAGTACTTGTGCTGGGGACCTAAATACTAAAGTGGGTAAAACTATTGTGATAGTAGTAGTAGTAGTAGTAGTAGTAGTAAATTTGGGGATGATGGGGGTAAATGAAAATGGGGAGCCTTTAATTGAAAAATGTATAGATAGAGGTTTGGTAATAAGTGATACATATTTCAAGAAAAAGAGGATAAATAAGTATACAAGATATGATATAGCACGCAATGAAAGTAGTTTGTTAGATTCTGTATTGGTGTATAAAAGGTTGATGGGTAAACTTCAGGCTGTGCATGTTTTAAAGGGGCAACAGATATATCGGATCATTTAGTTATAGCTATAATTAGAGTAAGAGGTAGATGGGGCAAAAGGAAAATGGCAACAGCAAGTAAGAGAGAGGTGAAAGTTTATAAACTAAGGGAGGAGGAAGCTAGGGTGAGATGTAAGCAACTTTTGGGAGAAAAGTGGGCTAGTGAGAGTATAGGTAGTGTGGGGGGTTGCAGCGGGGTGGAATAGTTTTAAAAATCAGTGTTAGAATGCGGAGCAGAAGTTTGTGGTTATAAGAAGGTGGGGGCAGGAGGAAAGAGGAGTTATTGGTGGAATTATGAGGTAAAGGGTGCGATAAAAGAGAAAAAGGTCGCTTATGAGAGGTTTTACAGAGCGGAATGTAAGGGTGGACTATATGGAGAGTAAAAGAGAGGTGAAGGGAATGCAAAGCAAAAAGGAGAACAAATGATAATGGGTGAGGTGCTGTCAACAAATTTTGTTGAAAATAAGAAAAAATTATGGAGATAAATATGTTCAGAAAACCTAGGGAACGAATGGATTTGGAAGTTAAAAGCAGAATAGGAGAGTTAGTAGATGGGGAGTTGTAGATACTGGGAAGATGGCAGGAATATTTTGAGGAACTTAAATGTTGGAGAGGGGTGGGAGTAATGTCATGTTTTGGCCAGGGAGGTATAACATCTTTTAGTTTAGTTTAATACGTTTATTATGCACTCCATACCCATCCTGTGGGCGGTAGTCAAAATATTACAGAGGTACATAATGGGTCCAGGGACTGGGCTCCAAAGTTTTGATAGCTGAACAAGGTACAAAGGTAATGAATCATGTAAGTAAATTACTTACGTTTATACATGGCTACAATCATTGACAAATTATAGAGTAATGAGCAATTCACACGTCCACACCCGGTCACAACTGTAATGAGTTATTGGTGCAAATATTAATTGTTGGGTCTTTCTCTCACACACACAGGTAACTACACACACACACACACACACACACACACACACACACACCACACACACACACACCACACACACACACACACACACACACACATAGTACAAGCACTCACACATACGAGTACACAAATACACATGCAAACACACACATACACAATCGTTCAATACTCTGTACACTATACGTCAGGCCCATACTGGAGTACGCAGCACCAGTTTGGAACCCACACCTGGTCAAGCACGTCAAGAAATTAGTGTGTGCAAAGGTTTGCAACAAGGCTGGTTCCAGAGCTAAGGGAAATGTCCTACGAAGAAAGGTTAAAGGAAATCGGTCTGACGACACTGGAGGACAGGAGGGTCAGGGAAGACATGATAACGACAGACAGTTTACTGCGTGGAATAGATAAGGTGGACAGAGACAGGATGTTCTAGAGATGGGACACAGAAACAAGGGGTCACAATTAGAAGTTGAAGACTCGGATAAGTCAAGGGAATGTTAGGAAGTATTTCTTAAGCCACAGAGTTGTTAGGAAGTGGAATATTCTTTGTGATGTAGTGGAGGCAGGAACCATACATAGTTTCATAGTTTTAAGACGACGTATGATAAAGCTCATGGAGCAGGGGGAGGGAGGTCCCAGTAGCGGTCAGTGAAGAGGCGGGGCCAGGAGCCGAGTCTCGACCCCTGCAACCACAATTAGGCAAATACACACACACACACACACACACACACACACACACACACACACACACACACACACATATACAGGATTTCACACCTTTATGCGAATTTACATAATTTTAGGCACACAAGACAGTACAGTGGGAACTAAGAGATAGGGTACATATGCAAAACATATGTAGTACATACGAGGCAAATATGGACTGCTTACATAAACGCACGCATACAGACATACACTAGGTGAGAACAGGATCTGCTGTTAGGCACTTGAATAGCTGTAGCACGCACACACACACACACATACACACACAAGGGAGAAACTGACCACATACAGGCAGGATCCAGAGTCACAGAGGGTGAGGCAATGGGAGGAGGAAAGGGCAAAATCAGTGTTTATCCATGGGCTTCAGGAGAGAGAGGAAAGGACACACACTGAAAGAAAGGAGATTGAGAAAATCATCACTGAAATAGGTGAAGAGATGGACGAGATTGTAAATTTTCAGAGAATAGGGGGGTACTCAAAGGGGAGAAACCGACCAATCAAGCTGATTCTCAGGACGGAAACAGTGCAGAACAGGATCCTCCAAGAGAAACCACGATTGAAATACTCGGAAGAGTACAAGAGGGTGTTCCTAGACAGAGACAGAAAATCAGAACGACAGCAGCTGAGGGAGAGGACAAAAAAGCGAAAGGAGCTAGGAAAAGAACAAGGATGGAACCAGCAGAGGTCAGTCAGAGCAGAACAGAACAGCAAGGGCAAGCACACACACAACTATTCTCAAACCAAAACAACCTATCACACCACCCCAAACACACACTACAGTCCATACCCACAGCCTCCACCCAACACCGAGCTATATAATCCCACAGTATGCCACCAGGTCTCCCCACCCTCACAGTCCCCCCAAACCACAGTGTTTGGAAAAAGGGAAAATGAAGGTAAAGGTACACAAACGCTGATGGAATAACAAATAAGTGGGAGGAGTGGCATGAAAGAGTCCCAAAAAAGCATCACCGGGCATTATAGCTCTCACAGAAAACCAAGCTTACAGGTATATAACAGATGCCATCTTTCCAACGGGATACCAAATCCTGAGGAAAGACAGAGGGAACAGGGGGGTGGAGGAGTGGCATTGCTGATCAAAATCGCTGGAATTTTGATGAGCTGGAGAGAGGGGACGCGGAGAAGAAAGTGATTACATAGCGTGAACGCTTCACTCTGGAGGTCCCAAGGTGGTAATAGCAGTGATGTTTAAAACCCACCGCAGAACAGCAGGAGGCCAAGCAAGAGTACGACGAGAGCAATAGAGCGATGGTTGACACACTGGCTAGAGTGGCCAGAAAGCTCATGCATGCAGGGAAAAGCTCCTGATCATGGGTGACTTTAACCACAAGGAGATCGATTGGAGAACTTGGACCCACATGGGGGCCCAAGATACATGGAGGGCTAAATGATGGAGGTGGTACTGAAAAACTTCATGTGCCAACACGTAAGGGACACTACAAGAGAGAGAGGAGAGGATGAACCAGCAAGGCTGGACTTAGTATTCACCTTGAGTAGTGCAGATATCTAGGACATCACATATGAAAGACCCCTTGGGGCCAGTGACCATGTGGTTTTAAGCTTCGAATACACAGTAGAGCTACAAGTGGAGGGAGAAGCAGGAAGGCCAGGATGAATGAAGCCAAACTACCAGAAAGGGGACTACATAGGAATGAGGAACTTCCTGAACGGGGTTCAGTGGGACAGAGAACTGGCAGGGAAGCCAGTTAATGAGATGATGGAATATGTAGCAACAATGTGCAAGGAGGCTGAGGAGAGGTTTGTACCCAAGGGTAACAGGAATAATGAAAAAGCCAGGATAAGCCCATGGTTTACCCAAAGGTGCAGGGAGGCAAAAACCAAGTGTGCTAGGGAATGGAAGAAATATAGAAGGCAAAGGACCCAGGAGAATAAGGAGAGCAGTCGTAGAGCCAGAAACGAATATGCACAAATAAGAAGGGAGGCCCAAAGACAATATGAAAACGACATAGCAGCGAAAGCCAAATCTTACCCGAAACTGTTGTATAGCCACATCAGGAGGAAAACAACAGTCAAGGACCAGGTAATCACGCTAAGGAAGGAAGGAGGAGAGACAACAGAAAATGACCATGAAGTATGTGAGGAACTCAACAAGAGATTCAAAGAAGTGTTCACAGAGGAGACAGAAGGGGCTCCAGAAAGACGGAGAGGTGGGGCACACCACTATGTGCTGGACACAGTGCACACAACCAAGGAAGAAGTGAAGAGGCTTCTGAGTGAGCTAGATACCTCAAAGGCAATGGGGCCAGATAACATCTCCCCATGGGTATTGAGAGAGGGAGTAGAGGCGCTATGTGTACCCCTAACAACAATATTCAATACATCTATCGAAACAGGGAGATTGCCTGAGGCATGGAAGACAGCAAATGTAGTCCCAATCTTTAAAAAAGGAGACACGACATGAAGCATTAAACTACAGACCATGTCACTGACATGTATAGTATGCAAAATCATGGAGAAGATTATCAGGAGAAGAGTGGTGGAACACCTAGAAAGCAACGATCTCATCAACAGCAGCCAACATGGTTTCAGGGACGGGAAATCCTGTGTCACAAACCTACTGGAGTTCTATGACATGGTGACAGCAGTAAGACAAGAGGAGAGGGGTGGATGGATTGCATTTTCTTGGACTGCAAGAAGGCGTTTGACACAGTTTCCACACAAGAGATTAGTGCAAAAACTGGAGGACCAAGCAGGGATAACAGGGAAGGCACTACAATGGATCAGGGAATACTTGTCAGGAAGACAGCAGCAAGTCATGGTACGTGGCGAGGTGTCAGAGTGGGCACCTGTGACCAGCGGGGTCCCACAGGGGTCAGTCCTAGGACCAGTGCTGTTTCTGGTATTTGTGAACGACATGACGGAAGGAATAGACTCTTGAGGTGTCCCTGTTTGCAGATGACGTGAAGTTGATGAGAAGAATTCACTCGATCGAAGACCAGGCAGAACTACAAAGGGATCTGGACAGGCTGCAGACCTGGTCCAGCAATTGG